ATCAATGTACATGCCTACAGAGTAAAAGAGATGCACGATAATTTTTTTTTTTTTTGGCAGCTCCTTTGCATATGTCTATTTCTTCTCTGTCTTTAGAACTCCAAACAGCGGAGTGGGAAGCCTACATTTTATGATTAGGTACATGCATAAATGCTTATTAGTTTGTTTTCAAAGCTTTTCAAGAAACTGCCTGATCCGTATGCAAATTGTCTGGGTTTTGTTTCCAGCAACCTAATTAATATAACAGAAAATTAAGTTCCTTGAGATTTACATAATAATTATGCTTCACATTGCACGTGCAAAGTGCTGCTTATCAAAGTGACTCTCTGGAGTTAGACTCTGTTACCTCATCTCGAGAGAACAGTTGCAGTTTGATTATGGTTGAAAATCTTAACATCTTGGTATGACTGAAAAGTGTCAGGTGTATTTTTAATGTCTATAACTATGTAATAAAGTGTGAAAGAAAATATTTTCCAAATATGAGATTAAAAAAATCCATCTTTAGATTGTAGTAACTAATGTTCTGTTATGGACAGTGAATAAGGTGAATTTTTAAAAAAAGTTTTCTGACAGCTTGAACTGACCTTCCAGATACTGACTCTATCAAAAGCTGCAAATATCAATAGTATGTCAATTATGCCGAGTATTTTCTGGAGTAGTAAGAGCTTTCATACAAAAGCTGGAACAGGTTGAAACTTTGTAATTGGGACATCTGTTTGAGATTAATTTCCTGTCAGTTTCTGTGGAAACTGAGCACGATTAGGTGGATTGTACAAGCTTTTTCCCCGTACCAAAGTGCCATGATTTTCAAATTCTCTATTACTGCCACTACCCATGTCTTTTTCCAAAGAATAAAAAAGTGACTTGCATAGAGCATATTCTTTGAAGTAGGCTTCATTAGAGCAGAAGTTGTTATTAATGCCCTTCAGGGTGTAAAAGTGCCATTACTCAGTAAAGAAAAATTTTAAATCTATGTTTCAAGTTTCTGAAGTTAGATGTGTCTAATCAACGGAAATTTATTTGCTCCTGTAAGGGTCTGTTGTGGCAGATAGCATGTTTATTAGGTGATAGGTAATTACGGAGTGCTAAATAGCTGTTGCATATTTAGGGATTGCAGCTGTAATCCTGTCTAAATACATACTTCTTATTTTTTCCTAAATTCATTTTGGCAGCAGATGGCTTCCACACTCCAAAAATCTCCCAACCAAGAATACTCTTAGACCATCATTATGCATTTTTTATTTGTGTTGAATTTTTTTTGTACAGACGACTATATTTTGCAGTATGCAGTGCTGAGCTGTCTGTAGTATCATGGATTTGGTAGTGATTGTAGAGAAATATTTTGTTTTCCTGCTTTTCTAAAAGTTGGGTGCGTTTTTTTATTTTTGTTTGTTTGGAGTTTTTATGTTTTGTTTTGGGTTGGGAGGGGGAGGTTGAGGTTTTTTTCAGCTTAGTCTTGTCTGTAATTCTTGAATGAGAAGACTAGATGAGCTCCTAGAGGGTTCTCAGCAAGTTGGAAAGTTTAGCCTTACAAGCTAAACCTGCTTGAGAGCTCTGGTTCTTGTCTGTCTTTTCCATGTAATGTCTCTTTACGTGCATGAAAGTAGTACAGTGCAAAATGCAGATTTCTGTGCCAAACAGCTTGAGAAAATTAGATCAACAGTCAGGTGTTTTGCACAGCTTGGGCATTCTGTCTTTCCACAATTGACTCGCATGATCATGCAGTTTCTGACAAGTCTTGTCTTGCTGCTTATTGTTTTCAGCTGTATATTCTTTATGACATAGTCAGATATTGTTGTAAATTAAAACATCCAATGTAGATCTTCTTAATAACGTTTGTCTGTTCTGATTTCATCCAGTAAAATGGGGGCTCTGTGGCTGTTCCGTAGACCATGAACTGGCAGTCATATAGCACAAAGGGTGGTTAAGGTATCTGTTGGACAGTCTTGCAATCTGTGAAAGTAGCGGGTAGGTGAGATGAAAACATAACTTGAGGGACAGTCAATCTGTTCAAATGTGTTGGAGCAGTCAGTGATGTGGTTCTCCAGCACAGCAAGCCTATATTAACAAACAAGTTGTTAGGCAGTGTGTTTTACAGGTATTTATCAATTATCACTGGGAACGGTGAAGTACTGGCACTTGCAAGACCGTACTTGAATTGATAGCAAATTTCAACATATCTGTTGAGCAAGATGTGATGTTGATATCCACTCACCATGATTTCACTTGAGGGGCCCAGTCATATCAAGGTTGTGGATCTGTAATCTATGAGGTTCTCAGTTTTGCATACTCCTTATGTGGCTTCTTAATTTCCAACATCAAACTGGTAACAGATTAGTTGGCGTGAAAAGAGTGTTGGCTGTCAAATAGCAATTGCTGTTTTCCTCTGAGATTAATGGCAGGTGTACTTTTTCCTGGCTTACCAAGTACAGATGAACTTTTGTAAGACTGCCTCTGTTCTAGTCTTGCATTCTCAACATGTTGATGTCGTTCCAGGTTTGAAGCTTGGAGTTTGGTGGTGGACCTGCCTGTAGTAGCAGAGAGGAAGCAGTGGTTCTGATAGTGAGTCTTCCTCAACATCTGCCTTGTTATGCTAGCATAAAGGACTGCAAAAATATCTTTTGCATATTTGTGTTTTAATTCAGCAAGAACACTACATTGCCCTGTAATCAGACCAGGAGGAAAAAGTAATTTTTCAAACTTCATTTATCTTTAGTGTGTATTTCAGGAAAATAAGACCTTACACTGGCAGAGTGCAAGTCAGAAGTAGTAAAGTATCTGTGCTACAGTTTTGTGTGATCTACAGGTTGTATGTGGCTTTGCATTTCCCATTTTTTTTCCTTTGTGCTTGTCCTGGAAGCAGGAGAGGATGTAGAGGATATAAAGGAGAGCACAAATTGCAAATTTAAATATTGTGATGATGTCAAAGGTGAACTTTTTTTCTGGAGTTCTCAGATTGTTCTGGTGGTGGGCTAGCCACTTAAGCCTGGCTTTGGGTGTAGCTAAAATATCGATTTATTTATGCCTAAGAGTTCCTTTCATTCAAATGAAAACAATATTTTCCCTGTAGTTGGCGTGTAGGTATATGTAGCTCTTTCAGGGAACAGGATGGTCAGTAGTGCTGTAAAATAAGGTTTCTGGTTAGAAGAAATACTAGAAATTGAGAGTGAAAAGAAAGGCTTGTGAAAACATCAGAATTGCCTGGGATTAAGGGATAAGTAAATTACCTGTCTAGACAGATATTCTAGGAAAAAGAAAAGTAAAAACCTACAAAAAGTAGTTGAGGAGCTAGCAATTAAGGTTGGTTAAGGTTTTTCCTTTGGATAGGAGGCTATGCTTAGGAATGCATCCTTTTGTTATATTTATTGTGTAGCACGAGGTCTTCCTGAAATAGGATTGTTAAAGAATTACTTCAGAGTTACTTTTTGATGCTCAAGGCAGTATCTGCAAGGGCTTGCTACTTTGACCAATACAGTAAACTTACATTGTTAAGAAAGAAGTCTCAAGTCACCAAAAACCCACTCACCTTGCAATGCTTTTTCTGATTTTAAATAAACTTTACAGTTGGTTCTGTATGGCAATATAATTTTGTCCCATTAACTTTTGGAATGCAGTATTTAAAAAATATAGGGTTGTATGTTGGAAAATCATTACATGTTTGTTGTAGGTCCTTCTCAGATGTTGCTGCTTTTCAGTAGAACTAGGGAGCTTCAAGAAGCAGGAAGTACACTGTCCAGAAGCTATTGCAAACAAGGGATTTCAAACTCTGTTTCCAGCAGGGTGTGATACAGCAGTTTCTTCTTCCCCACATTCTTTGAGGGAGAAAGTAAAAGGCTTTGGTGAGTTGAAGTTCAAAAGGGGGCTGTCTTTTCATGTATTCCTGCAGTATGCTTTGCTTTCTTTTTTTAGTAAGGTTTCTCTGGCTGCCAAGACAACCATAAATATGTTCAGACTTAATCTTGGCTTAGTGTTTTAAAGTACTCTGATCCAGCCTGGCAAAAAGATGTAGCAGCATCCTTTAACATTGGGTTTTCTCCCCCCCCCCCTTTTTTTTTTTTTAATTACAAAGGTGGTGGCAGCTTTGAAAAAAAGGCTTGCTCTTAGTAACACCAATAGCCAGTGCTCCAAGTACTAAAAAAGAAAAAAATACTCTTCACTGCCATTATGTGAATAACACTGAATTAATTGGTTTGATTCCTTTTAAAAGATGTTTGTCTTGTTTTTCAGTTTAACTGCACCTGCGTCTTACTGCACATGTATTCCTTCTCTACCAGTGCCCCTTTGCCCCTAGTTGTGATAGGCAATTGTTGTTCTCTCAGGCCCAGGCTGCAAACCACAACTGAGATTACCTATCTGGATGAGATATCTCTATGGCCTTTTTTTAGACGATACTATACTTAAACTAGAACACAATTAAAAAAAAACAAAAAACAACAAACAAAAATATCACCAGCATTTCAGGGCTTATGATAATAAAACAGACCATAGCTTCCAAATAACTAATCAGCTTTAATGTGTGAACCCTGATAAGCATAAGACTGGTAGGTTTTTACATGTTTATGGATCCACGTTATCCACCTAGTATTAGCTGTTTTGTGTCCTTACTGATGTTACCCCTCTCTAGTTTTAGGGGAAATGGGATATGTTTTTGTTCAGTCATCTCTCCTTTTTCTCAAAACTAAGTCAGTGTTCAACTGTCTGTAGCTTTTTCAGTACCTTTGGTCCCAATACTTGGCAGTAATCCATGCTGTGTCAACCAGTGGTCAAAAAGCATGCCTTTGACCTGTGGTTACCTTCTTACTCTTCTAGGGCAGAACAGTGTTTCTGAACAACCCAATAAATAGTAATTTCACTTTTTGATCAGGTGACTCATATTTTTTAAATAATCATAAAATTACTGTTCAATAATTTCTAGGGTTTAGGAAGTTTATGCAAGATTGGAGAAAATCATATAAGACAAAGTTCATTTGTAGTGTCTTTTTTGCATGCTATTTTTTAGACATGAACGTTCAGTGACATCAGAGAAATTGGCAGAGTTGAGGAAAAATGACTTTTTCATGAACTTCTGTGAAGAATGCAAATGAGCAAGGTGTGAGCTTCAATGGTAAGTTTAATTTTTATTACTACTAATATCCTTCTTTACCTGTTCGTGAACATGTATATTTATGAAAATCTTCATAAGTTTCCTGTTTCTTCTTCAGAATGTGTGAAATTTGGGTTTAATTGTTTTTGAAATATTTTGAGAAACACCTTTAAACCTAAAAACCATACACTGTCTGCCTTTTTGATAACTTAGTATTCTTTGTCAGTATGTTAATTTACTCACCGTTCAAGAGAACTTAATTTTCATAGTTCTCCACTTTGCAGCATTCACTTAAACTGCATAGCTGTCTGCTAAAAACCGCATCAGAACTTATCATCAATCTTTTTTTTTTTTTTTTTTTAAGTAAAACATGAAATGTAGCAGTGTATCCAGCTTGTGTGAGGGCTTTTTAAGGGTGAGATTTTTTAATTAAAACACTAAATTCTGTAAGATGAATGAGACTTGAGAAAAGTTTTGTATCATATTGATTTTTAGACATGTAGTATAATTAACTTCTAAAATATTGGATATCTTAATTTGACTTTATCAAGTTTAGTTTTTAATCAGTAAAACTACTCAAGTTTCTGTCCATGTATTTCAGTGTTTGTCCATGAAAACTCTTAGAGAAGATGGCTGATGTAAGCCTGAAGGAAGCAGCACTAATCGTTGGTGTGGTGGCAGCCTGCTACTGGAACAGTCTCTTTTGTGGCTTTGTTTTTGATGATGTTTCAGCGATTTTGGACAATAAAGATTTGCATCCTTCTACTCCGTTAAAAAATCTGTTTCAGAATGACTTCTGGGGCACTCCAATGTCTGAGGTAAACTATTGGTGAAACACTTTGAGGCATTTAGGAAATGGGAAAAAAATCTTGCAGAGAGTTTTTAGACTTTTTTTCCCTAATGGGTTTTTAACAGAATATTTTGTTTCTGATGGAATTTGGTGGTGTTAGTGTTTTGTACTATAAGATCAGGAACAGATGTTGCTTATATTCTTTCCATTTGTTCAGTAAAGAACTTGTAAGAAAATTAAGTCATATCATGCTTCAAGATGCTATTTGTTACCTGATTCCAATGTTGAAATTGGACAACTGACCATTTTCCTTTCTCCTGCAAAGAAAGTTACACATGGTGCCATTGCTGAGCAAATGAGTAAACATTCTCTGTCAGTCACAGATGTTTTGCCTATCAAGGCATTCTGCCTTGTAATCTTCTGTTATGTCTGTAACATACAGGGTTAGTTCCTTGTGAGATACTAATTGCTAGCTCTACAAATAGACTTTGATACATAATTTTCGTATAACCCTGTAACGAAAGCTTCCAGACTCTCTCAGATGTCATCTAGGCCTGTAGTCATTGAGAGTAAGTGGGTACCTGTAAAATTTCAAATAGTATTTTTCAATGTTTTTACTCCAAAAAAAACCCCTAGCCACTTGGAGCAGGAGAAAGCCATTTCATTCAGTGTTGATTTTGCACTTAAAACCAACTGAAAGCCAGGTTAATTTTAACTAAATGAAGTCAGATTAATTTGATTGTTCGTGGCTTTTTAAAATATTTTTTCTTCTCGTATTTTTGTCTCTATGTATCTGGAATTCAGTTCCCTCTCTCCTCTCTCTGCCCCCCCAGTTTTTTCTTAGATTTTCTTCTTTTGTTTTATGGACATATTCAGCAAAAGATCAACAGGCTGTGGGTTGATAAATGTGTTTTGGAACAGGAAGATGGTATTAAGTATAGTTTTTAAAAGCGTTTATGGATGGAGTAACTGGCACCATAGACATATTGACTGGTAGACATATTGAAAATACGTAGATTATACGTTTAGCTGAGTGCACCAAATTTTTATTTTATAAAATACTGATCTAAAACATGAAATGGCAGAGTAATCAAAATATTTGAATAATACATTAAAACTATGTGGAAGTAGGAAAAATAGTCAGAATTAACTTCTCTGATTAACAACTTATTTTAATTGTAAATCAAGTTTTCATTTCATTGACTAGATTTTTTTTTTTAAGTGTTACTGATTTAAAGGTCTTTATTTTGAAGGTACATTCCTAAGAATAGCGGGGGGGGAATCATGTATGCATAGATTTTTAGAAAGATACTTTGGGGTAAAAGTCCTTTTATAAGTTGGTAGTGACTGATTGATTTATTTCCTTTTAGGAGAGGAGTCATAAATCTTATCGTCCCCTCACAGTTCTTACGTTTCGCTTAAACTACTTGTTCAGCGAGTTAAATGCAGTTTCTTACCACTTCCTAAATCTGGTATTTCATGTGGTGGTTTGTGTAGTCTTCCTCAAGGTCTGTAAGCTTTTTCTGGACAACAGGAGCAGCGTGGTTGCATCCTTGCTCTTTGCAGTGCACCCAATACATACTGAAGCGGTAGGTATAGCTGTGATGTGCTTAATCTGTTCAAGCTGTATCAATTAACCGTAAATTTCATGGGTTTTTTAATTTGTTTATATATTGTAACTCCCAAAAAGTGTGTGATTTTACTTGTACTAACTCTGCCCTTTGCAACGAGTGGTGGAGGTGACAAACTTTAATGCTCAGAGTTGTTTGGTATTCTATGCAGCTACTGAAAAATAAGAAACATTATTTTAGTTATTCAATAACTTGGGTCTCTGCTGTGAGCGTTGGCTTTTATGATGTTGGTTGCTTTAGCTTACATAGATACTTGTGTTCTGTAATGATTCATCCAGTGTCATATTTCGCAAATATTATGAATATGTCTTAATTCATTTCCAGAATCACCAAGCACTCCCCTCTAGCTAATTGCCAAGTCTGTTCTGTCCATTTTCTCTTATGTCAATGTATCTAGCTCAGCAGGACTTTTTCTAGGATTGTTGTTGCTATGCTACATCCAGCTTAGGGCCATTCTGTTTGAACCTTCCATTTTTGAACGTAACTGATATAAGAGGAAATACATTTCTTGCCTCTCATATTTACCTTCCCTTTGATTCTGAAGGAGTTTTTCACTGCTATGAAGAGCATTATTTATAGAAGCTGTGTGATTATATACTTTTTAATGCTCAACCAGGCTTGCAATGTTGTGGAGTAAATGGAGTTTTGTGATTGCCATTCATTAGATTTGTTTCCATCAGAAACCCTGATAAAGCAGATCTGTGGAATTCTGTTACTTCTGCTGTTCTGCACCGCTTAGATTGGCTTTCCTAGATTCCAGTTTACACGGGTTGCAAAGCTGGGGACTGCATCCCCAGTCACTTTTATCTTCTAGTACTAGGTGATTTTCAGAAAACTGAAAATCTGTAAAATTTTTGCTTCTTTGGAGGTGTTATCTCATTTTTATTTTTGGGTTTT